ACCAGTATAAACATGCTCAGGAGAAAGACCCAGTTTGATTTTCTTCTGCCAGCATCTTCCAAAGATAGCCTCGCATCCCATTCTCTCATAAGAACAAATCTTAAAAATAAACTAAGGCAGTAAGTGCTGTGTCCAAAGCCAAGTTTGTTCCAAAGCTAACAGTAATAAAATCCAGGGCTTCCTTTCCCTATTCAATTTTGAGAGCAAATGCCTTTCATTGGTAATTTTGTTTGTAACTTCTGATCCTGCCATCTCTAGGACCTACTGTTTTATTAAAGCATTTCCAAATCTGGTTCTGATTACATAAGAGAAGTTTGTGCCTATGCTCATCAATGTCACAATTCACATGGAGATACCAGCTTGATTTACCCTTATTCCTCCAGAATGTCTACAATCTAGGCAGAGGGTAAGAAGAAATGACTGTATCTTTTGCCTGATCATCTGTACTTGAGAGAGAAAAAGTCACAAAATGACCCAACATTTGTGCTTGACCAGCAAGTTTTTTTTTTAATTAGTTGCCAATGTTTAACGTACCGTAATTTCACATAAAAATCTAAATTTCTGATTTCCCTTAAAAAAATCATACGTTCTGGCAACTTTTGGCTGCTAGCCGTCGTGGCTGAATACTGGCAAGTGAACATTTGTGATCCTTTGGTGGCCAGCATCTGAACCCCTCTCCTATCTATATTCAAGGATGTCCTCAGTTCACAAGTGGTGGGAGGCAGAAGTCATTTCCCGCCATTCAAGCTATATACCAGGGACTGGCCAACATGCAACCCCCGCCTGGACAATTAGTCATGTCTCCCCAGACTTTTAATGGGGTGCTAGTTTCAGTTAGCATCCACTGCAGGACAGAAGTGGTGAAATCTTTCTGACGGTGCAAATGTTTGGGAAAGCGACATCCATTGCCCAGGGGGGCAGCGGGGGCAGTGGCCCCTGAAGGTCGGAAGCAGCTGCACTTTCCTTACTGGTTTCCTTCCGTGGCGTAATTTTGACCATGGTTTCAGTTCCTTGGCCTGTCTTTGTTCCATTTTCCAAGTCGGGGTCTCCAGCCTTCCGACTGATGCCGAGCCAGCCAATATTTCGCTACTGCATTCCTTCTCTGCTTAAATCTTCCACCTGCAAACTCCGCCCCCTAGCGGCAGGGCATAGTTTCCACCCAGCCCTCTTGTTTATGTACTAACTCCCAGGCTGCTTAGAGACGTGTGGGCTTGTAATTTGGGTCTTTATCTCTTTCTCTTTAAGGTGACAGAATTTTTCCTCTGGGAGAGAGGCTAAAGATCACCCGTGCAAGGATCCACAATGTTCAAAAGGAGAAAACTTTCCCAGAGGCACCGCTCCCCTTTTCCCCTTACATCTCATTGGGCAGAACTGGATCACATGCTCACCTTTAAGCCAATCAGGGGGCTAGGATTGCTGTGATTGGCTCACAATAGGCCCTAGTACGATTCTAGCTGACTATTATCACCTGGGAAGCTTTTTAAAACTGCTAGTGCTTGGTCCCACTCCCAGAGGCCAAATTTAATTGGTCTGGCTGGGCTTCACGTGTTGGAATTTTGTAAAATCCTCAGGTGCTCTTAATGTCATCCCTCTCTCTAGTCCAGCCCCCTACCCCTGCCCATTTCACAAATGCCAATACTGAGGTCCAAAGACACCTTAAGTAACTTGCCCAAAGGACTGTACCTTCAATTAATTCAATTAATAACAAAAACAAACACACAAAACCACACATACACACACACGCGCGCGCGCGCACACACACACACACACACACACACACATATTATAGGGACACCTCTGTTTTTCCAGAGTGTGCAAGTGAGTACCCATTCTCTTTCTTAGAAAGTGAAGTCATGGCGGGCTCAAGGACTGAGGAGCAGGAGGAGTGTAGGGCAGTGGTTCTCAAACTTGAGTGTATCAGAATCCCCTGGAGGGCTTGTTACAGCACAGATGGCTGCGCCCACCCGCAGAGTTTCAGATTCAGTGGTTTTGGGGTGGGGAGAAGAATAATTAACATTTCTAACAAGTTCCCAGGGGATGCTCCTGCTGCTAGTCCAGGGACCACACTAGCTGAGCAGCTACGAGTTTGGGCTATAGAATCACATTGTCCCGGTTAGATCCAGTTGTGCCCCTTACACCAAGTCACAAAACCTACTAAACTTTTGGGCAGTTACTTAACATGTCTAGGAAATGGGGCTAATGATAGTGGCTCAGACTTATCGCAACAAATTATACAGTGAGTATAATAAATGTAAAGCAAAGCACTTAGAACAGTTTCTGACCCATAGCAACTGCCTAAAGAGTATTAACTATTGTCATTCATTCATTCATTCATTCATGGAACAATTATTAATTGAGTGCTTCCTTTGAGCCATGCACTGTTCCAGGCACCAGGAATCTATTGGTGAATAAATCAAAGCCTTGCCTCCCAATGAGCTTACAATCCATTGGGGAGGCACACAACACATGACCTTGTAAATATATAATATAATGTCACACAGAAGAATTCTGCATTCCAAGCAAACTGAACAGCAGGTGCACACAGAGTTTTATGAGAACTTGGTGCAGTCTCATTCACATCTTCCAGCTCAAGGAGGTGGTGGCATCATGTTTCTAAGGCAAAGGCCCCTTAGCAAAATGGCTATATATATGTCATTTATATTTTTATTATGTAGACCTAAAATACATTTTACAGGGGCGCCTGGGTGGCTCAGTCATTAAGCATCTGCCTTTGGCTCAGGTCAGGATCCCGGGATCCTGGGATCAAGCCCTGCATCGGGCTCCCTGCTCCGTGGGAAGCCTGCTTCTCCCTCCCCCACTTCCCCTGCTTGTGTTCCCTCTCTCGCTGTGTCTCTCTCTGTCAAATAAATAAATAAAAAATCTTTGAAAAAAAATTTTACATTGTATATGTATATTGATATATATTATTTATGTTTTATATATCAATAACATTTATGTATAATTAATATATTTTGTATTTTAAATATGTTTTATATTTTTATATTCATATTTATAATTTATATATCCTAGGAATTGGCTCACATGATGATAGAGGCCAAGGAGTCCCACGATGTACTGTCTGCAAGCTGGAGACCCAGGAGAGCCAGTGGTGTAATTCAGTGTGAATCCAAAGGCCTGAGAATCAAGAGCGCTGGTATCTGAGGGCAAGAGAAGATCTATATCCCAGCTCAAAAAGAGAGCAAATTCACCCTTCCTCTGCCTTTACATTCTATTCAGGCCCTCAGTGATGAGGGATGAGGGATGATGCCCACCCGCAGTGGTGAGGCGATCTTTACTCAGTCCAATCTGAGTAAACGCCAGTCTCTTTCAGAAACACCCTCAGAGACACAGCCCCAAAATAATATGTTACCAGCTCTCTGGGCGTCCAGAGTCCAGTTACGTTGACACATGAAATCAACCCTCGCGGGCATAGTCACACCAGCCAATTCTTGAGTAGGTCTTGCTTGAGAGGAAACATTTGAAACAAGAACAGGGTGGGTGGAGAGTGTCCTAGAAGGGAAGGAGAGAGTAAGGCGGCAATGTACCTGCTGCTTTACATGTGTGATTTGATCCTGGCAGGCACCTTTGGAGTAGAGATTATTGGACAAGGAGAGAAGCCAGATGCCCAAAGCTAAGTGGCAAAGTGGCAGACTAAGGATCTGAACAAGCAGAGTTAAGAGTTGGCCACTGTCATACCACAAGCCACATCTGACCCTCCCCCCTTCTTCTGACTCTCCAGGCAGGGGCTAGCGTGAAGCATAACCGCCATCAGGTATTTGCCCCACTGTCCCTCTACTCTGTTCCTAGAGCAGGTGCCGGTGCTGTAATAAGGTGCAAGGAGCAGGTGTTTCTGAATCAGAACACTTCTGACCCCAGCCCAGCCTCCTCTCTTCTCCCTATTGTCTTTCTCAACACGTTAAAAAAAAAATTAAAAAGCTTTATTATGGATAAAGTATGTAATCTGTGATATGTAATACACATACTCATTGCTGGGAAATACAGACCAGCGAAATAGGAGAAAATAAAAGTGGTCCATAATCACCTAATCGCAGAAAAACGCACTAAAATTTCCATACTGGTTCTCCTGTCTTCAGGTCATAGGGACCCTGTCCTCTGTGCTTAGTGACCAGCTCTTTCCAGTTACACATATTAACCTTAACTGGGAGTTTATTTTTTGTTTTCACTCTGGGGTTGTTTCTGGAGCGTGGTTCTTTAGATTTTGTTGGGTGAGGGGCATGGCTTGGGAGGTAGATTGGAGTTGTGTGTGTTTGGAGTTGTTTAACAATTCGAAGTACTCACCTCCCAGCTTATTTCGAGGCTTTTTTCCTAGGGCATCTATATTCAAGAACTGACCCTGTCATTTGGGGCTGTTTTTCCTCGGGGGGTTTTCAGCGCTGGAGGCTCTCTGTTCCTTTGAACGCTAAGTGTTTGAACTTTGGTGGTAGCTGAAAGTGGCTTTGGCCGCGACACTTTAGTTTGTAATGATGACTGGCGGCTGCAGGGAGTGACCTGGCCT